GATGCAGTTGAATCAAGTTTTCGTTGCTGTCAGCAATGGCTCGGTGCTCTCCTATACACTCAACAATGGAATTCCTGAATTGAACAAGAAGTATATTGGATTTGGTAAAGCCGCTTACAGTCTCGCTGCGGTACCTGTGTACCTAGCAGATAAACAGTGGTGAGTTTTCACATACTATTGACCCTATCATCAGTGTGATGTCCAGTTGAAACATATATACTTTGATGTAACCAACGAATCTAACAAACTTTCTGATTGGTCTGTCTGTTAGTTATTAGGGTTGTGTAGCCAATCAGGTACAATCTTCTAAGTAGCTTCACATTGAATCTCCATGTCAAAATTGTCGCCTTCTGCAAAGATACAAATTTTCTCCATCAATATCTTTGAACACTACCAACATCCATGAATTTTGTCAGACAACATTTTTTTGTTTTTTTGGGAGTTGCTGTCTTTTCTGATCTGTGGTAGCTGTTTTTGGAAATATTAATATTGTGTCTTTTCTAATGATAGCTGTTACGATATATGGTGTGGACAATCAGATGGCTACATCACCGTACTCAACTCTGACTTATCTGTCAAGCACCGTGGATTGAATCATTTCACATCGGTGTCATCATCCAGTAAAAATGTTGGTGTCTATCACATGGTTACCAATGACAATACGCTTTCTATGGATCTATCTATCGCCACGGAAACCACAGATGAACAATCAGTGTGGACTTATGTATTTCCAGGTGAGTGGTTTCAGTGATAAATGGTTTCTGCAGAGACATGTATTAGTCCAACGTACAAGAGTTCGTACAAGTGTTTTCGCCTTGCAAATTTGTGGGCTCAATCCCTTCATCTGACTGCATGTTCACCCAGCAGTACAGGTTAGGTACATGTTGTCCAGATCACCAAACATGTTGTATTATTCTTTATGGACTGGATACAGCTTTTGTGGTCTGAGGTCATGCGACAGAAGTGCCAAAGCTTGCGAATGCGCCATATGACCATATGTCTTATACCGTATAGGTGTAATGACAATTTTACCATGGCATGACGTCAAACACACAACATAATTTAGAAAGACGCGCACTGGGCCAGGCGTGATATGAGAAATTATTGCAAGGTGTGAGGGCGCACTTCCCATAGCACTACGAGGTCGGGCAATACAAGGTATATGATAATAGACTTTAGGGAATGGCTTCATTGTATGCCTGAATAAAAAAATACAAAGGTTGGTGTTTGAAAGTGCATCTATTTAATTAGATAACTTCTGTTCATGTTGTAGAAGAAAGACGACATGAAATTTAAAACAATCTCATCATAATATATATCCAGTTTTCTCACTAATTACAACACATGAATAATTAATTTCTGTATTTAAAATTTCTGAGGTTTACGGGAGCTAAACATTTTTACAACCAAATTTCTCGGGTTTTGTTATTTTCTAGTGTTAATTGGCTTGTATGTTTGGTCATCTCCTCAACATCCTATAATCTAACCACCAAAGGGTATTGTTTTTTCTCAAAATGTAGAACTTCATAAATTACCCCTTTAAATTACGCCCTTTGTGATAACTATCACCCAATTATATTTTCCCATTGAAATCCATGCAGAAAAATGTTGTTGTCAAATTCATTAGAATTTTCATTTTATATCCTCACCAACATAAAGTAAAGAATTGTTACTCAGAGAAATAATAAACATCTATTTGTGTTCAGGATCTAGTATTTACAGATGGGATGTCTTAGATAGAACTATTCATGGTAAACTGGATTGCGGTAAGGTATCCAGACCATCAGTGGTTCGACCACCCAGCGGCAAAAGATCTGGATCTGGACGTAAGTTTCTTATGTTTATAGTCACAATCTAGCACCTACAATATACTGCCTAGTCTTTGTTGCTGATTTGTGAAATTGATACAGCCAGGGCGCGTGGGATACTAAATCTAAGCATGTGTCATCCCATACCATCACTGCCATGCTCCTGACCATTCCATATCTAGATCAATTCCAAGGTCGATCCAGAGCATCCAAACTTACAAAAAAATTATTTTATAATAAATGCAGATATATTGATGTCTGAACCAAAATTATTATTATGAATGCCATGGTTACATCTTAATAACTGCTTTACTTTAAATACCTACAGGTAACAAATGCCATGTGACAGCCATGTGTTATTACAGCAACCATCTTTACATTGGGACCAGCTGGGGTCAGTTATTGGTTGTTGAGCCGTTCTCGTTGACACCTTATGCCGTGTTCGCATGTCATGAGCAGCCTGTCAAGGCCATCCTGCCGGTCAAACCAGGACTGAACCAATCAGATACAGTCTTACACCCAAATAGCACCGTTATAATTACTATCGGTCGTGGATACAAGAATCTAATTGGGCGGTATCCTAATGCTCCTGCTATCGTGCGAGCAGGAAGCAGCGAAGAAACTTACGTCTTAGCGTGGAATGCTGACAGCTGGATGTGAAGTGGATTACACGCATCTGCTCTGTGCATATGCTTTTAATGAAGTAGTCGTCATTAAGAAATCAGTCTGAGTTTGGATTCCAGCGAAACAAACATTTTACGCACTTATATTTGAGAAGCTCTTCTCTAATAGAGAAAATGTGTTGATGGTTTCATCCATCCATATTTAAAGCAAAGTTTAATAGTCATAAAATGTTGCTACCATCTGTATCTCCATTATCATAATGGTACCCAACCATTTAAAAGTTTTTGGTTAAAAAATTTGAAATATGCTAGCAATGGTGTATTTCATCTCAGTCAATGACAATGCAGAAATTTATGAAATTACGAGACAGTATACAAATGTTTGCGTACTTCTTTAAACGTCTGTATGATTCCTCCGGCCATTGATATGAACAGAATGTGCAATGACTTAGTATTGATATATTTTGTACTAATAAACAATCATCATTAATGAGATTCAATTCTGAAAGTACAGTGTGTGGCAGAAACCTGTGGACGTACATAACCATACTTGATGGAAGGCAGTATGGGTGTAAGCAAGGTTGAGTTCTTGAGCCAATCATAATCACATATTCGAAATTAAATAAAACCTGGGGGGCTGATATTTACAAATATTTATAAATGCATTATAGGTACAGGTTTCTGTCGCACACTGTAATAGGTATTTTTTAGTAAAGCCTGGATAATCTAAACACCTGTGTCAGTCCCTTCTCTGCAGACATGTTTAAAGGGTAGTGTTTGCTGCACCACGTTCTGTTTAATATGGGAGTCATAGTGACGTACACAATGTGTGTAAAATACGTTGTTTGTTTAAATGACACGCACTACACGGCGACCACTGCCCTTTAAACCAAACACATCTTTAAAGCTAAGCATTTTTCTCATTTTCTTTTCAGACAGGTTTCTCTTTACTTGATGTTTGCAATTCAGATTTTTCATTATCATCACTAGACTGAATGTCGTCTATAAAACCTACTTAGAAAAATTGAAGATGTTCATACGATGTGACAAGATTGATTGGGCTTGTGAGTTAGTGTTTTGACAATGATTTTTTTGGACTGCAACAATCAAAATGGTGATTGCTTTAAAATGTATTTTACTAAAACTAACCCATAAATCAAACATTTCTTAGTTTCGTAGAATGTATAGTTTCTTTTAGAAATTGAATGTAAATATTTTGAGAAATATTCTTTTAACTTTTACAAATTTTAAATTTATCTTTAAAAGGTTTATATGGTTACATGGAACTTTGAGTAGTTTGCTATAATTGTAAGTTGGCATGGCAACGCTCCCAAACACCTACCGGTATCTTGGTATTAAATCCTGTGAGCCTCTTAATTTATGCAGCTCGGAGTTCTCGCGATTTGAAAATTGTACGACTTTTGTGACGATAAATTTTTATGAAAGACACCCGGGACTACAGAGAAATTATCACTGCTACAAAACTTCACGATTTACACTGATTTGCATAATTCACTGAAATTTGTCTCGCGAAATTAAAGCAGTTTACACCATCTTTCTTATTCATCATGTATTTAATTGTGAATTCTGGACATTATTTAAAATCCTTTAAATGAATTCTGGAAAGTATTTATTATTAATCACATATTTTTCCGAAAACATTGACTTCTATTTTTTCACCCAGTCCACCTGACTTTAATTCTAAACACTGAATTTAATTTCATAAGAATCAATGTTTCACTAATTTCTGGAGTCAATGCACTTCATGAAATATTGTGGCTTTGAATATAGTGTCCTTTATCAAGGGACCCAAAATAAATCTTGAAAACCACTATGAATCTTTATTGCAATATTGTAATATTCCTGAAAACATTACCAGCAGTGTTTATGACTTTCAACGGTTGGACATTTGCACATCAAAATGTCCACTATATTTGAAAGGGGTGATTAAATTTGTGAAATAATAATTCTCAAATACAAAATGCTTATATGATTCTGTATTTCAACATATTTCACATAATTCTTTCGCTCAAAATTCATTTTGAATCTAAATCCGGAATTCTTATTTGAAAATACCGGTAGTTGCCTTGGCTTGTTGGAATAAAAAATGCAAAGATCGCTGACAATGCTTCTAGAAGAATTGCAAAAGAGATTGATAAGTAGCTACCAGTTTTCCTGATCAGTTTATTATGTGCCCCCCTATAAGACAGTCACCAAATTTTATCCTCAAGGCTGACCGTAAAATCTCCATACACTTGAGTTTTTAAAAAAGTATAAAAAAAAGGTCCTCTGTCGAATGTACTTATTTAGTTGATGCCATAATCAGAGATATTTTATGATAGAATACATTTTTGAAATTGTCATTGTTACCCTGACAACGATTATAACAAGGAGTTGAAATTTGCAGTACCTACCATGTGAATGAATCAACTACATTCAAAGTGATAGTTGTCAGTTTAAAAATCTTGACATCAGTTCTACTGAGAGTACTCATGTACATGTAAGTAGAAGAATATTTAAAATTTGTATTTACTCTGCTTTATTTGAAAGCAATCGTCAACAAGTTTTATTCATTCTCAAGTCATGACTACTTTTTGTTTATTTCACTAGTTACCATGGCAATATTATGCAACATGTTCATGTTATGCAAAAGTCTGCTACATGCCATTCACAGAACAATTGAAAATTGTTTAAGATAACAAAACTTCTCTCCATGTTATGTAATAGTGCATTTCAAATGTAAATAAAGCTACAAGACTTTATCATGTTTTTGTTCTGTGTTCATCAGTCATTTTTGGAGATGACTTTCTTTGGGGTGTGAGACATACTGAGGTGCTAGTCCACTTACAGGGGCAAGGCGATTTGCCGTCTTCGTGACAAGGAATCCTGTGCATGCATGTTTGAATATGCATATGTTTATATTTGTGCTGAAGGGAATAAATGATCAGAGATCTGTGCTTTTAAAATACGATACAGATGAATGTTTAAATTAATAATTTTAATAATACATTTCTGTACTGGTGACAAGATCCCATTGCAACTTCACAAAAACAACTCGGCAAGCACAGTATATACCAAAACAAATGCCATTATTTCCTTCAACTGCACCTTTCTGTCCTTTAAAAACTATTATAATAAGGCTAGTAGAATATTGACTTAGACTACTCCATTATCAAAAGTTACATATGTTGCACCTTCCTCTCTATCATGGACTTGAACACAATTTTAAAAACATTTGAAAAAAATAAAAACGTGTTTACAGACATGTAATATATAGAAAACTGGAACCGCATGTTTAGGGATTCATTGTTGCTGTCAGATTCACTACTCATGAAACAACCACTGACTGGCAATGCTGGCTTTCTGTAAGTGCAACGAATTCTGATCAGATGGCATGGTAAACAGAGTTTAAACTGATTTCAAAAAATAAATCTACATAATTGCACAATAGAAGAGAACACCTATTGTGAAAACAAATTTTGCATCAACAGCAAAAAGCAATATTTTGTCCAGTTGGTTTGGAAAATGAGTAATGAAATGATAGAAACTGTCAAAATGCTCTACGCCTTCAATAACAACATTTGTGTAATCTAAAACCACAAAAAAACCACCAGGCATAAGATATCAGTCACTTGTGTCAATTCTTTTACACAGCAGTGCCTCTTTCTAAATTCTGTTTAATCTCTGTAGTATATTGTCCATAAAACCTTTCCAATTTCTTGTTGAATTTCATGTTTCTCTCGTTGATGTAACTGATGTCCTCTTCATCGTTGTAGGCTCTCCTTCTGCTGTATTTGTTGCGTTTATCGATTCTAAAAGACGGAAATTAACAAGATTCTTGTTATTTATGTGAAGGAGTTCACAACAGAGATCGAGTAGGATGCAACAGGGATACACGGCTGACTTTCTAACCATAAGTTTATGTATGGTTACACAAACAAAACAAAAATTATTCTCTGGGATTTATACTTATATTGGTATTTGATTCAAAATAAAGTATGTTTCTAAACTGGAATAAACATGATCTGACAGTAGTGAGCAATATTGTATTTGCTCCATTAGTAGTGCTTACGCTTATGTGAGGTGTTTCTATAGTTGACATAAATAATAATTTAATGAATCAATATGCAACAATTCTTTGTACTTGTGCTTTTGTTGGAGATGCACTTCTATTTGAGCAAATAGAAAAGATCAAAAAAATGGTTTAACAATGAAAATGGATTTAAAAAGTAATGTGTATGATGCATGGTAATGGGTCCAGGTGAGATGTTGAAGACATAATTGACACAATTATTACACATCATGATGACCAGTGTGACAGATAACCTATTCCTTGTGGTTTGATGGATATACTTGGTGCTCCCAACAAATACATGTATGCAGTGTTACTCCGATTATAGTGAGTTATGAAGTACTTTCACAGTCATAAGAAAATTAGCCCTTTGTGAAATCTCGGTTTTGTTATGAATACACTATCCATTACCAAGACTGTGTTATTGATTTCATCAGATAAACTAGTTTAAGACTTACTGTTTTTCCAGATCATTAACCATTCTGTCAATACCAGCCTCTGTATCTTTGTATTCATGCTGTGGCAGTGTGTCAACAGTAGGGTACATATCCTCACCTCTGAAATAACAGAATAAATATGAATCTTGAGTTGAACCAGTTGAGACCAAGCATAACCAGCAATATCTAAATATAACTAGTTACAATACATGTATATGACAAATCAAAACTCAGCTTTGATCGATAAATTTTAATCAGCCACAGCCAAGTATAACAGGCTGCAATCTATCTAATATCTATATAACAGTATTTCACATGTAACCAGTTATGACCGATTATAATCAGTGATAACCGATTACAACCAGTATAAAACAGCTACATCTTGTATTGTAAATGTCACAAAGCCCTGGTGAAGTGTCATTGACAAAATGCCAAAGCATTAGCGGGCCATTGCTGTCATTTACATCGCTACCCTAGCAGCGTGTCCATAAATTTGACAGGCTGACTGCAAGACATTCCCCCTGATGTGCCTACTGTTGTCGCCCTGATATCACAAGCACATTTAATATTTAAAGTTTTATTTCAATTAACACATTAGTTTTTTTAATTAACACATTAATATTTTAATAAACACATTAAACAAAACAAAAATCTGGTGAAGTTAATTCAGTATCAATAAATCTATCTTCACTTTTAAATTAGTACCAAAGATGCAGTTCCAGAGGTCAAACAACATCCATGACTGACATCCATTCAATGATGAAAAACTACCGATAGTTACAATGAAATAGTTGAAACTCAGAGACTGGAAAACATGTTTTTATAATCAGCTGTTAAAGGGGAACCGCTCAATCCCATGGATTGCACCAAGTGCTCATGGGTAATTAACTCCGCCTCTGTCCACTGAGTAAATGAATGCTTATCTTTCCCCCTGTACCGCTAATCCCACAAAACAACAACTGATATAAACATCCTTTGAACTGATTACAATTAAAATACAGTATAACAATTGAATTTCAAACCAAGTACAAGTTAGTCTGTTCGGCCATTTGCGTCAAACACAGAGCTATATGCCATGATTTGAAACATTGCACGCTCCGTAATATATACATCGACGGGCAAATATGACGCGGAACTAAACTAATTCAAGTTGATGATGGCCCACAAGTAAAGGCAGCAGTCCACCGGATATTGAACACAAAACCAGATTGTTGCTAAACGGCCGCGAAGAAAATCCACCGACTTGTCTATTTCTGTTGGGTTGGTCTATTGAGGGTACTGATCTTGTATACAGTAAAACTGAGAACGAACTTCCTATGCACATTCCGTATACATACTACTCCTTCAGACTGCTAATATAACAAGTGGGAAAATACCTCCGGTCAAGGACTTCTGTTTTCATAATTCCGTCGCAAATAGGTAAACAAAACATGAATTTACTATTGGCCTCAAATTTCCATATAATATCCACAAATTGGTAGCGGCAAAAAAGTTTACTGTATATTATAAGTATAGAAGTTATTACATGGAAATTCCACGTGATAAAATAACAAAATCATAAGTTATAAAAAAAGTGCAGCGACGTCACGACCTTATCTTGTAACCTGCTGATGACACGTCTGGAAAATCAAAATGCACAGCCTTGTCTTCCGTGAAGCCTAGCCCATATGGGCAAGGGTGGAACCGGCTTGTATCGCGTGTAAGATTTGAGTTTTTGTGGTATGGCAGGTGAACGTGGGGTTGACTTTATAGTCAAAATCAAATGAGCGGCGTGAAAGAGAAGAGCGTTCTGTCAAAACAATTTTACCGTAGACTCAATTTTAACGCCCAATCTACAGCGTTGTAATTATTACAAAATCAACTTCTTGTTGAGTAGTTTGCAAACTTGTTTTGATAGAACGCTATTATCGATTGTGCACATAAGTTGAAAAACCTTCGTAGACTTTCTTTACAGGCCGCTTGATTGTACTACTGGCCAGTACTTATGTCTATGAATTTCATGCTAGCTTAAGAAACACGGGCCTATTGTTTTCTGGCAAGTAAAAACAACTGAATTGAAATTGAATTAAAAAAAAAATCATACAGATCTTATTTTCCTTCGGGCTCTCAATTGTGTTGTTTTATTATCATTGCACATTATATTACATATTATCATATTAAAAGAAATGTGTGTATAACTTATTCAAATGCATTGTAATTTTAGGTAGCATATAGTTAGTTGAGTTACAAGTCTGGCCCATACTCCCTCTCTCCACTGACTGGTCTTTGGTTTCAAACATCGCTTTATCGATCATCTACTCGGTGATATGGGTCAGGAGTGAGCGCTGCTTTAACTTCGACCGAAAACAACAACATTTATACATCAAAAGCTCAAACAGACGAGTGTAATCGCTAGCGTACATATACATGCCCCCGTAGATGTGTATTTGGAATAACAGCTTGATCCCAAAACATTGTAAATGGCACATTTCACGGAGCTCCCGCCACGATGTGAACGGCTTGGTTCGGATTAGTATACTACCGGTAATACGGTGGCCATCTTAACCCTTATTTATAGTATCGGTTCCCCTTTAAGTTCATTTACTGATAAAGGCAGATGTACAGTTGGGATGTTTAGCAAGCACGACTAACACGTTTTGGGCAAGAAAACGAGTCTGGACAATAAGTCACATACTAAGAGTGACATGAATGAACTTACATTCTTTGCTTTACATCTTCATACCTCTCCATATCAGGTTTCATCTGTTTTGTTAATCTCTGGTATTGCCTGAGACCTGCCTGCTCATAACCTACAAATCACAGGAAATATTAGATTAGATCAAGTAGTCAGAATGATGAATAGGACGTACACTTTTATGATACACTATATATACTTATATGTACAGGAGCAATTCTTTCTTTTCATTTATTTATTTTACATTAATCCATTTTCAGAATGTAATTACTGTATTTGCTTTATTAGCAGCATATGTGCTTATGTAAACGACAGAGGTGGATCTAGGATTAAAAATCAAGTCATATTTTAACCATAATTATACCAGCCCCCTAGAGTTTTTAGGGATTTGGTACAATTAAGAGAACAATAAATGTTGGTTTATGCTAATAGAGTAACGTTATTTTGACATATATCAGTAAAGTAAAATGAATCAAATTAAAAAAAAAAACGGTATTCAGAAAAGACCATGATAGATTTTGTCCTTCGGCTGACTCATCCATTTTATGTTTGAACAACCATAAACTCTGTCATGCATTTTATCCAGAGATAATTCGCTATTTATCGTAAGTAGAATAGTAACCATCACATTGGGGAGAATGTTTAATGTCCAAACCTCTCTTTCTGGAGATCATCATTCTTGCAGCTACAAATCTGGAAGGTAGGCAGAATGAATTACTATTTCACAGCTGAAGCTGAGAATGTAACTGTCTTTAGGGGTGAGAACACACCTGCAAATCCTTGGTCCGGATTCTTCTTTTTCTTCTTCTTTTCCCATCTCTCAGCGTCTTCCGCGGAAATATCTAAAAGTTTTATTCTGTCATAGTCCTCTCCCCTTGCCTGATGAAC